ATGATGCTGAGACAACTGGACATCCAGATGAAAACAATAAATTGGACCACTATTTATACTACATACCAAAAAAACCCCTCAAAAATGGAGCAGAACCTAAATATAAGAACTAACACTATAAAACTTATGGAAAATTGAGGGAAAAAAATCTTCATGATCCTGGGTTAGGGTCATCCACTTATCTCTCTGTAATACACCCTATCAAATGGATAAACTTGAGATATTATACTATGTGAAAGAAGCCAGTCACAGAATACCAAATATTATGTGATACCATTTTTGTAAAATGTCCAGAATAGATAAATTTATGCAGAAGTTTGTCTAGGCCTAGAGGGTTAGGGGGAATGAAGAGTGACAACTAATGGGTACAAGGTTTCTTTTGGAGATGAGGAAATGTTCTAAAATTGTAGTGATGGTTGTGACTATTGATATACCAAAAATCGTTTAATTTTATATTTCATATAGGTAAATTTTATGGTATGTGGGTTATTTATATCATATTATGTATTAATTATACATCAATAATGCTATTTTTAAAAGAAATTATAAGGGTAAAATAGAAGTACTACTAAAAGTATATAATGACTGAGAAATTCCACAGGTACTAAAATTTGAAACACATAAGTCCTAAGTAGGGAAACAAACTAAACCAACCCTAGACATGATGTAGTAAAGCTGCACAGTATAAAGACAAAGAGATGATCTTAGAAACAATTAAGAGAATAAAAAAAATGGATCACCAAAACAGGAAACACAGATTAGCGACAGGCTTTTCAGCATCAATAACAGAATCCAAAAGTTAATGGTACCACATTTTTGAAATGCTAAAAGAAAAGCTATCAACCTAGAATTTTATACCCAACTAAAATGTCATTTAAAAGTGATCACTAAGAAAAGACATTTTCAGACAATAATAGAGAATTTATCACTTACATATTCCTATCTTAGTAGGATTTGTGTAGCTACAACAGAATAGTATAGACTGGGTAATTTATAATGAAAAGATAGCTATTTCTCACAGTTCTGGAGGCTGAGAAGTCCAGTATTAAGGCAGTAGCATCTGATGAGGCAGTGGGGCCAAATTCACTCTTATAGTAGAACCCCTGTCACACCGACTAACCCACTCACATGATAAAATGACATTAATCCACTCATGGGGGTAGAGTCCTCATGGCCTAATCATCTCCCAATGGTCCCACCTCTTACTACAATAGCAATGAAACTTTAACATGAATTTTGGAGCTGACATTCAAACAAGAGAAGATTGTATAAAAACTTTCAAAAAATGTATTTCAGAACATAGAAAATTAAAACTGAAAAAAAGGAAGAAAGTACAAGAAGCACTGCAAGCAAATGAACAGGTAAACATATAGGTAATTCTAGCTAAGAATAATAACAGTGACCAAATTTGGGGGCATAAAAACAAAGCAAAACTCAAAAAAAATGTTTTTCACACAGGAGGAAGAGGAAAAGGAGGAGGAGAAGCTTTAAAAAAACATTTAAAAAAAGTCTACAGACTTTGCTTTTATGCAAGAAGGAGGAAATAAGTTTAAATTACGTAGTATTAAATCAAGTGTGCACATTTAAAGCTAAGAATAAACACGAAGAGGGAGTGAAAGGGGGAACAAAGAAAACAAGATCCATCTAATCAATGTCAGGCTCTGAGGAAACAATAAGCAAAGAGAAAAAAGATCATGCTTAGTAGGAAGCGCAAGGTAAGATTTTAAAAATAAATCCAAAGCTCAGTAATAAAATTAAATGTAAATAGATTAAATCTTATTGTTCCTCATTAAACAGAGGATGCTCTGATGACCCTACTCAAAAGGTCCCATCTCCCATCATTCTCTGTCCTTTTTCCATGCTTTATTTTTTTTCTTAGCACTTCCTACTTGACATGACCATGCTTGTTTGCCTCTGTTTCCGACCTGACTTCCCCCGCCTGAAAGCAGGGGGAAGACCTTATAAGCAGGTCTTCCTTTTGTTCACTGCTCTGCCCAGCAGGTACCATTGTAAGCACTCAATGATTATTCATTGAATTGAATTTATAAAGAAGTAACATGAATAGGGTGACCAGACGTCCCGATTTTGGCGGGACAGTCCCACTTTTCAACAATCTGTCCTGCATCCGGCGGAGTTTTAAAAAAGTCCCAATTTTTGGAAAGAATGCACGAATGGGCTGGAAAACAAGAAGGGAATATACGGCTTTCGGCCACCATATGGCTATTTCGCCAGAATATGAGTTTTATATTATTTTTGTTAATTTTATAATGTTAAACTATAATAAATAATTGCTGAGAAGTGATTATTGAAAACTGCTTATCAAAGTTTGCCTTGTTGTCAGGCCCTGCCTTACCCAGTCCCCTGCCCCATGCCCCAGCTCCGCCCCCGCTCTGCCCACCCAGCCATGTTGTCCTGCCTTACAGATGTTAAAATCTGGTCACCCTAAACATGAATGACCAATAAATACATTTTTAGGTATTTAATTTCACTAGAAACAAGATAACTGCAAATCAAAATAAGATACTATTGTGCCCACGTTTCATTGGCAATATTGCCACATCACACGAGGTGGCCAATCACAGATCATAATTGTTTCCCTTTAAAGCAGTTGTATCTTGCCAAGCATGTGAGTTAATTTGTAATGCTGACCTCTATCCAAGTATCTCAGCAACTAATTTAGCTTTGTCCTGAGGAAAAGTGATTTCCCTGACACACCTTTGTCTTCTCCACCAAAGAAAGCACAGTGACACAGTTAAGGACAGCCTTCCAAGGACCAAGTTTTCCCAC